ACGAGGCAGAAACCTTTTCTTCTAGATTCCATTTTTATGTTCCTGTTTCATTTTTAGCTTCAGTGAAACGAAGCATAGAAGTTGTGTGACTGCGTACGAATACACAAACGGAAGGCCATTCTTCCTATCTCAGTGCAGAGCTAGAGCACGCCCATGTCCCGCATCTCCAGTTCTCCATCCGCCGCCGCTCATCCTCCTCCCCCTAGCCTGTGTCCGGCCTCCGCCTCCTCCTCCACCTAGCCAATCTCCGGCATCCCCTGCCGCCGCCGCCGCCACTCCTCGTCCACCTAGCCAATCTCGGGCCTCCGCCTCCGCCACTCCTCATCCTCCACCTCGCCGATGCCCCGCCTCCGTCGCTTCTCCACCGTGCCGATGCTCCACCTCCTCCGCCGCAGCTCCTCTTCCACCTCCACCTCGCTGCCCTCACACCCCTGGTCTCCCCACGAAGCCTTTGCCGCGGCCACAGAGCGCGTCCGCGCCGGGACGCTAACCCCGGAAGAAGCACACAACCTGTTCGACGAATTGCTGCGGCAGGCCACCCCGGTCCCCAGCCGCTCCCTGAACGGCTTCCTTGCCGCCCTCGCCCGTGCGCCGGCCTCCGCAACCTGCCGCAGAGATGGCCCTGCCCTCGCCCTTGCCCTCTTCAACCGCGTATGCCGAGAAGAAGCCGGCCCGCAGGTGGCATCCTCATGGGCTGCTTCTGCGGTGCGCATCGCCCGGACCTAGGGCTTGCCTTATTTGGCCGCTTCCTCGGGACAGGCCTCAAGACAAACAAGATTGTGGCCACCACCTTCCTCAAGTGCCTCTGCTACGCCAAACGTACAGATGAGGCTGTCAACTTGCTGCTTCGTAGGATGCCCGAGCTTGGCTGCGTGCCTGATGCAATCTCATACACCATTGTTCTGAAGAGCTTATGCGAGAATAGCATGAGTCAGCGGGCACTTGACCTGCTCCAGATGGTGGCAGAAGGAGGAGGTGCCTGCTCCCTCAATGTGGTGGTGTATAGCACAGTCATCCATGGCTTCTTCAAGGAGGGCGAAACAGGCAAGGCATGCAATCTATTCCATGAAATGATCCATCAAGGGGTTGTGCCCAATGTGGTCACGTATAGCTCGATTATTGATGCGTTGTGCAAGGCCAGAGCAATGGACAAGGCAGAGCTAGTCCTTCAACAGATGGTTGATAGTGGTGCTCAACCGAATAATGTGACATATAATTGCATGATCCATGGATATTCCACATCAGGGCAGTTGAAAGAGGCTGCTAAAATGTTTAGAAAAATGACAAGCCATGGTCTTGTACCAAATGCAGTCACTTGCAGCTCGTTAATGACTTCCCTTTGCAAGCATGGAAGAAGCAAAGAAGCGGCGGAAATATTTTATTCCATGACTGCCAAGGGCCACAAACCGGATGCCGTCTCGTACCGTATTTTGCTTCATGGGTATGCCAATGAAGGATGCTTTGCTGATATGATTGATTGATCTCTTTAATTCAATGAAAAGCAACGGTATTGCAGCCGACTGCCGTGTTTTCACCATATTAATTGATGCATATGCTAAACGCGGAATGATGGATGATGCAATGCACATATTTGCGGAAATGCGGGAAAAAGGAGTGAGTCCCAATGTAGTCACCTATGCCACTGTAATAGGCGCACTTTGCAGATTGGGTAGGCTGGCCGATGCTATGGACAGGTTCAATGAGATGACTGATATGGGTGTACAGCCGAACACAGCTGTTTATCACTCCCTAATTCAGGGTTTTTGTATGCATGGTGATTTGGGTAAAGCCAAGGAGTTAGTTTCTGACATGATAAGCAAAGGTATTCCTCGTCCCAACATTGTGTTCTTCAATTCAGTTATAAACTATTTGTGCAAAGAAGGAAGGATTATGGATGCACAAGATATCTTTGAATTGGTTATAATCATAGATGGGAAGCCTGATGTCATTACATTTAACTCACTGATTGACGGACATTGCTTAGTCAGCAAGATGGATAAAGCATTTGGAGTACTTGGTGCCATGTTGTCAGCTGGCATTGAGCCTAATGTTGTTACATATAATACACTTGTTAATGGCTATTCTAGAAATGGAAGGATCGATGATGGTTTGACTCTGTTCAGACAAATGCCACGTAAGAGAATAAAACCTGACAGTGCCACATATGGGATCATACTGGATGGGTTGTTTCGTGCTGGGAGAACTGTTGCTGCAAGGAAAATGTTCCATGATATGATCGAAAGCGGAATAACAGTGAGCATTTCCACATACAATATTATACTTGCAGGTCTTTCTAGAAACAATTGTGCAGAAGAAGCGATCGACCTGTACCAGAAATTAGTTGCAATGAATGTGAAGTTCAATATTTCAATAATCAATACCATGATCAATGCAATGTACAAGGTTAAAAGAAAAGAGGAAGCTAAAGATTTGTTTGCTGCTATATCAGCGAGTGGGTTGGTTCCTAATGCTTCGACTTATGGAGTAATGATAATAAATATTCTAAAAGATGGAGCAGTGGAAGATGCTAACAATATGTTCTCAGCAATGGACAGGAATGGTATAGCTCCCTGCTCTCGTCTTATAGATAGTATTATCAGAATTTTGCTGGAAAAAGGTGAGATCACCATGGCCGGACTTTATTTGTTGAAACTTGACGGGAAGAACATGCTACTTGAAGCTTCAACTACTTCACTGATGTTGTCTCTCTTTTCAAGGAAAGGGAAATATAAGGAGGATGTGAAATTTCTCCCTGCAAAGTATCAGTTTTTTGATGGATTTGGTTGACTAAGTGACACATTGCATATCAGACTAACTCCTAAGAAAGCACAATTAAGTTTTTTCTTGCATAAAGCCCTGATGCGAGTATAAGAAATCCAAATGGCCAGCTTGTAGCATTGAGTTCATTTTGATGTGTGTCAAAATGACGAGAATGTGAAATATGAATCTTCTAATCTTTGTTGGGTGCGGAAAGGTAGACCAGGTAGTCATGCTGGTTGAAATTTTTGGGGATAATTTCTTCTGATGGCTATTAGGGAAGGTATACACATATAATCTTTCGCAAGAAGCGCAGTAAGTACTAATACAATATTTTCTTGTATGTACATTGGTACCAGCCACTTGAGTTTTTGTAGCCTCTCTAAAACAGTCACTTTCCTTCATATGGGTGCATTTTTAGCAATGTGATTGTCAGTTATCTGCTATGTGTGCAATGCTGGTCGTACTGTTAATTTGAGAAATTTGTTATATATGTCAGGGCAAATGTGTCTCTGAAGAACGGATGTTTAAGATTGCGGATGCAGTTCAATTTGCGGATATATGAGCTCATGCTGGGGTCTGCTATACTCTATACCGCTGTCAGTTGCACTGGTGAAGCTTGTTGCATACAGGTGAAAAAAGAGTTTCTTTTATGATATCTCTCTGCTTTACTTCATTGAAGATTCAACTATTTTCCTCACGGTGTAGGTAAAGGTATTTGCAAGAATTGCTGCGAGATATCGCATAAGTCCGCATGGCACCAATGCCACCATAGGTGGTAGGGAAGAAGTTACCAAAACATTTACTTGACAAGAGTGTCTTGCTCTTGTACATATGATGTGGGTCGGAGATATAGTTTAGGGCACTTCAAACTTGGTGATAGATACTAGGGTTTGGTTATCTACTGAATGTAGGATCAGGGTACCAAACCCTACATGATAATGCATTTGATGAAGTGGAAATATGAACACTTTGAAGTAGCTGTAGGTGGTTGTTTCTTAGGTAAGTTAAAAAAGGCTAAATTATGTTTGTTGCTGCAACCATGGTTACATAGAAAACTTGGTTCAGTCGCATAGCTACCCAAGCTTCAGCAAGAGTTACTGTTGATGTTGCACCTTGTACAAGTTTGTATTTAGCCATTTTGTGGCAGAATTTGATGTCTACTTCAACGCTTCATTCAATTACCAATCATTTCATTATGTCCATGGTTATGTTGCAAGATTCACTAAAACAGTAGTTGTTCCACAATGTTTGCATAGGAATAGTTGCATTAGAAAAAGGATAGCAGGTTTCTGTAGTTGCTAACTGATATAATGATTTATGTGCTATAGTTTTAGAGGTGTAGTTGTAATTAACAAATCATTTTCCATTGTTTAAACTTGTGTGCATTGACAGTTCCAGATTTGTTCGGACATCATTTGTGATCATGGCCTACTGTATTGAACCCCTGGACATGGAAACGTCCACCAGTAGAGAGAGCTATGAATAACATCATCTAAATACCAAGGAAAGTTATCTGGCAGTTTTTTTTAAGCAGAGGCAAAAGATTTGCCTCATCCATTAATTGAGAAGAGAGCTTACAGAGTTAATGCTCGAAGGAGAAGGAGCATTACAGCAACAGTCTCGGGACAACAAGGTTTTTACTCTCGCGGCATGAAAATACTCAAATGTCTCGCATCCGTGACGACCCAAATATTGGCCCCCTCCTTGATGATTTGCATGATGTAATAAGCCGGCGTTGATTTCTTCTGGAAAACACGGGTGTTTCTCTCATTCCAAATAGTCCAGGTCACAAGCATGGTCAGGAAGGCCATCGCCTTCTGATTTGCAGCTGTGAGGGCCGACGTGCTTGTCCACCAAGATAGAATATTTCTCTCACCGGCCCACAGGAATAAGTCAAACTGAGGTCTGTAATATCTTCACTGTCGGATAATTTCTGCTTGCCGTTCTTCGGAGTTAATGCCGTGGTTTAACTTGACCATGCTTCTTGTTAATAGGAACACTGTTTGCCATGTCCAGCTTAGGATAGAACTTCTGTTGCCACTGAATTGGAAGTATCTGAGCTTCGGAGTGCCCCTGAAGAATGTCATTGTTAGCAGTGGAGGATTAGTTTTCCTTGAACTTTGACGGTGCCAAAAACTGTCAGTGTCCTCGGCAGGGTGGATAGAGCGGCCAGATGTACCAGAGGGGATCGCTTGCCATAAGGCCCTCCTCCAGTATAGGATGATTTGGTTGACGAATCCATCCTGCTCTCGTAGAGGTGTGTTGTGCATTCCTCTCCATTCCGGTTCTGGTGTCCTCAGTTCTCCTCTGTTGCTACTGCCCTGCCAGAGTAAAGGGTTTTAGGAATCAAGCTGTGACCTTTACCTGCTCTGCTCATTCGTTTGTCCTCTGCTGCTCAACGTTTCATTGCTGATCAAATCACACTCTTAGTGGGACGAGAGACCACTGCCAGCCTCACATCATTGCAGTGTGCTTACGTCTCTCCGCTTCAGTACACACATGAGGACTACCTCGAGTGTCTCCTCTTCAGATCTGAACTTTTTACCTCGTGCAATCCGAAAATAGTAGAAGGTGGTCGTCCCCTTCCCATGCTCTTGCTCAATCTTGGATGAACAATGCCGCTTAGATGTGAATTTAGTTCTTAAGGAATTGAGGTGGATTAGAAGGCACCATTGAATTCACTAGAACTGGAAATATGGAACTCCTGAAGTAGCTGCAGGTGGTTGTCCCTTTGTTAAGTGGAGAAGGCTTCATTTTGTATGTTACCACTTACCAGAACTTCGTTTACATCGAAAACTTTGTTCAGTAAGCATTCAGCCAAATTAGTCTTTGTATGCAGCTTGCGCAAGTTAGGATTTTGCCAAATTTATAGAAGATTTTGATGTCTACTTCTGCACATCATTTAACTTTGTCCATGATTATCCAAGAAATATTTCTCTATGTGTTGTTATTTGATGTTGGTGTGGGTAGTGTTAAGCTGTATGCTTCATTGAAACAGGAGTAGTTCTACCATGTTTGCATACAGAGAAACAGGATAGTAGATAGGTTTCTGTTGTTGCTAACGTTTTTAACATAGCAATTAATTGTACAAATGCTTTGTTTGCTACAATTTCAGAGGCGTAATAGTAATTTGAATTGTCGTATGTGATGAGATAGCTAGCAATCCATCTGTTTGTCCTACATATCCATTGAGTCGGATTACCTCAGTGATAATCTCTATAACTGGTAGCAGGTTAGTACTTGTCAGCGTACATGCAACTGTCTTATCATTTGATGGATCAAGCAGCACTCACGCATGTAGCAGTATGTCACTTGACCATGCTTCTTGATCTTAATCCAATCACTATTTTCCCATGTCCTGGTT